AGCCCTGGGCAGAGAGAGAAAGAAGATACACTTTGCTACTTCCTCTGTTTGTCCCTTCTATTCTCCCAGGTGACTAGATGGTGCCTACTCACATTGAAGGCAGGTCTTTGTCTTTTGGTTCACTAACTCTTTTGGCAAAGTACCTGCCCACAACAAATGTAGGTCTTTCTCTTAAAGGTTTCACTATCTCTCAATGCTATTATTATTAGGAGCCAAATTCCAAAACATGAGCCTTTTTAGGGGACAAATCATAATTCAAACCATAGAAGTATGCTACTTTAGGACTAAAAGATTTTCCAGAGAGCTGCTAATTTCCAACTCCACATGTGAGATAAAGTTCTTAATATTTTGCTTAATATGTAAGGAACATTTCATTTAATGCTGCATCAATAAAGTACAATCAAGTGCCACACTACGATGCTTGTATTGATGATAGACTGCATATAAGATCATGGTCCCATACGATTATACCATATAGCCTAGTTTTACAGTAGGCTATACCATATTGGTTAGTGTTAGCTTGTTTTATGATGTTCACACAATAATGAAACTGCCTAATGGTGTATTTCTCAAAACACATCCTTGCTCAGTGACACATGACTGTATGAGGTTCATTGAAGCCTAGCGGTCTTTAGCACTTCTTATAACAGGGATGTTTGCTTTCCTTGTCACACACCAAAACTGATTAGGGTTTTACTCATCTGGAAATAGGTATTATAACTACAGATTTTGAGGGGTCTTTAAAACACAAGACATAGTTAATAAAAGTGGCATAGATAACATTAGGAGTTATTCTATTAGGGTCATTAAAAATTTGGAGTACTTAGAAAAACCATTGTTAAAATTTTCACAGTCATTCTTTGAAGCCTTCAAAGAATACTTCTACCATTCATTGTGCTTTTCAATAGTGCTATTTGCCACATTTTTGAGCAATTATTCAAAATACTACATGCTGAATAATTTAATTAATTTTGCATGGAATGTAAAAGAATCCATAGAAAATAAATGAAAGAGAAATATTGTTTTGAAATGAAACTCTTAATATTCTGTAAGGCAGTGACTGCTCTTCCATGTCACATAATGCTGGCTGTTATATTGAATTATAGAAAGTGTCTACAAGGTTTCTAGTAGAACTTTTTTTTATAGATTATTTTTTTCATCTATTATTCCAGAGCAGATACAGAAGCTCCTAAGTTATAAATCCATATTTTAGCTCCAAGAGAATCTGGCTTTTCCTATATGTGCTTGCTGAGCTGTTTTCTAAACACTGTTCTTTATCCATAATCTCAGTGATTCCTTATTCTTATTGAGTACCTGCAATCTCTAATATGCTTTTTATCTCTCTTTTGTTTTGTATCTTTTAAAAAATATCTCTGTGTAGCTTTATCTTTTTCCTGGAAGAGAAAAGATGCTAACATAGTATTTATATAGATTATTTCTTCTGAAGAACATGCAGTGTTTTGTATTCATTATCTCTTTTATAGTTTTGACTTTGAAAAAAAGAAAAAGATCAGGACACAGAAATTTAAAATGTTTAAGAAATTTTCTCAGTTTGTAGAGTTATAATAAAACAAACACCAAAGAATGTATGCCTTAGTTCTTGTAAGTGACAAAATACTGTAGTGTTGACTGGGATTCAAGTTCTAACAAGTAGAAAAGACCTGTGTCTTGAGCAGTAACATAGAAGCATGTTACAGTGATTTGGGTTATTCTACTAGATCTAGTAAATATTATATGTACACCATTTCATAAAATAATAAAGATTGTAGTATCTTTAAAAGTGTAAAACTACAGTTGCAGCTCGATAAGTTTTTTCTGGGTTTCTTTTTTTCTTTTTTAAAGAGAGATTTTTGCTATAGGGTGCATATGCTTGCCAGACAGAGACAGAGAGGCAGAAAGTGAAAAATCACCTTTCAGGGGATGGCTGTGCTGCAGTCCTTTCTTCTTCATTCTTCTCTTGGGATTTTGGGCACACTCACATGCACCCTGCATGAGTTTTAAGCTGCTGGGTCCAGGACTTGAACAGCAGTTGACTATGTGGGAGTCCAGTGGCGTAACCATTATGCCATCTGCTGATTCCTTCTCTGACTTGCTTTGTCTTTTTTATTGTTTTAGGATTTTTCAGAAATAGTTTGGGATTACAGATATCAGGACCAGAATATTTCTTTCTTTCTTTCTTTTTTTTTTTTTTTTTTTTTTTTTTTGAGAGAGTTTTGCTGTAGGTTGCATGTGCTCACTGTAGACAGAGACGGAGAGACAGAAAACAAGAAATCACCCCTAGGGGAATGGCCATGCTACAATCCCTTCTCTTCCGTTTTCTTCTCAGGACTTTGGGCACACATGCACATGCACTTGACATGAGTTTCAAGCACCAGGTCCAGGTCTTGAACCATGGTTGACTACATGGAGTCTAGTGACATAACAATTATGCCATCTACTGGTCTCAAGTATTTCATATTTTGTAGAAGACAAAACAGGAAATTTTCCCTTTAGACAAGGATAATTCTGCCTTTGTATCTTTTGAAGTTAACTAATTGATATGTCCCTCTGTGAATTTCTTTATGAAGAAGTTCCATATGTTGAGTTGTTGAATACAAACTACCTGTAAGAAATAACTCTAAAAATGGGACCAGCAGGTGATGTAGTGGTTAAGGTGCTGGACACTCCCATATGGCCAACCAGGGTTCGAGTCCTGAATCTGGTGGCTTGCTTTCTCACTTCCTCTCTCTCTCACTGTCACCCTCTGTTTCTCTCTGGTCAAAATAAAAAAATAAATGAATGAATAATAAAAAATAAAATAATTATAAAAAAGAAATAATTCTAAAAATGCAGAATAATAGTCAATGGAGTATGGTCCATCTTATTTTTACTTTTGCCATTTCTCTGATACTTATTAAGTTTTTCTCTATTTTACAAATAATTTTATTAAAAGTAAGACAATTTTGTTAAGAAAGCCATTACTATACTCATCAGCAGCAGCAAATAGCTTTCCTTTTTCTCCAGATTATTATTTGTATTTGTATTACTTGAATTTTTTTTTAATTCAATATATCAAGGCATTTGATGAAAACTAGAAGCCCTCTGCCGTCTCTCCTTAACTACTCATTTTAATTTTCAGAGGTGACAGCTCATATGTCTCTACTTATCCTTCCCCAGATAGCTAAATATATTCAAATATTCCTATGCACATACACAGGTACATGTGTTTATCTGCCGTCATGTCCATCAAAATGCCTTTGTAAATATAAATTTGCCAATATTTCCCACATGCAATGATATTCAATAAAGCAGAATGGTCCAGACTGAACAGAATAGATGTCTTGTTTGTTTTTTGCTATACTGGGATTAATCAGATGGCTTCCAGAAAAGGGAAAGTATTTGAGAACTTGGGCAATAGCTCTTTACCAATAAACACACAAGTATTTTGGTATTTTAACCACTGGTTTTTACACAACTGTGCCTAAGAGGCAAGTACCTGCTCGACCATTAATAGAAGTCATTTGATAGCCTTTGATCTCCCTCACTTACACACAGTGTGCCTGCATTCTATCACAGATCTCAAAGGACCCGCATCAGAGCCACTTGTATTGCTTCTTCAATGTCAATTTTTCATGTTTTTTTTGTTTTTTGTTTTTTTTTTAATTTAACTCCTGGAAGTATAGCATAGATATTATACACATATTTGTGAAAGTTCCATGTCACAACTAGAAAACAAGTACAATTTATTTCCAGAACATTCCTTTTAGCATTTCCTCTGTGGCCCTGCAGGCATTTAACCACATTGTAGTGGAACCGACCTTCTAAACTGTTTCGGATGAGTGACTCCCGACACACCGAGCTTAGCGCTGTCAAGGTCCCCAAATTGCAGAGTATTTACTGCATTATTCCTATTGTATTTTTTTATATGTCTCATTATTACAATATGTTATCAACCCATTAAAGGTGAGATAGTATCTTAGCCTATTTAGCATCTGTTTTTCCTCACAGGGCACTCACTAATGTTTGTATGTTAATTCTTTTGGACATTTAGACTCTACCTTGGTGAAAATACACATATGTTCTATCATAAACATTTTAAATGTTTCTTTTAGACCTTCAAATTCTATGCTGATTTGAAATGTGAGGCTGTCATATTCCCCTGAGTTGTCATTCTGTGGATTTACAGTAAAGATGTCTATTCCCCTCTTTGCACCCATGTTTACCTTATAGGGAGAAGGCACAAAAACCCTTCCTTCAAATGTTCCAGTTTTAATCAGTTGTCTGCAAGTCACTGAGCTCTCTTCTTCACTATTTTCTATTTAGGGAAGTAAAGCAGTTGATATTCATTGAGTATTTATTTATTGCCTAGCCCTAGTGCTAATTACTTTGCATACATTAGCTCATTGAATTCAGACTGTCTCTCAAAAATATGCTTATTATTGACCTCAAGTCTCAGAAAAGGAAGTCAAGAATTCTAAGGGTAATCTTCCCACAGTCACACAAATGAGACCACAATCTGAACGTAAGAATGTGCCTCCAAAACCCTCTGTTGATTTGCTGTACATTAACACCCTCAAAATGGTAGTTTTCTGAGGACTTAGTTATACAAGCAAGCATATTTTCCAAACTACCAAGCACTATTCATGCATGAAATTTCTAACATATATTTTATAGTCTCTAGCACAGGAAGCCTAGTGATTTGGAATGCAAGGAATGCGTTAGGTGGTAATAATTATGATGGCGTTTTTAAAATTAGGTAAAACAATGCAGTGACTTGTTAGAAAACTAAAATCCGGTCTGAACCCATTTATTTCAACATCATGACTGTCAAAATGAAACATCACTTAGCAGAAAGTTATTAAATATGAACATACACTACTAAAATCATTGCAGAGAACATAAAAGGGTTATAGAGTAAAATCTGAAATAGTATCTTCGGTTGCATTTAGCCTTATGTCTGACACAACATGGTGAGAATACTTTGGAAACATAAACGTGACACGGTTGCTGCTGTTCCCCAGGTCTTCCAGATTGCCTATGTGATCGTGAAAGCAGCGAACTCTCCTCGACCTGGAAACTGGATTCTGGAACGCTCTCTTGATGACATCGAATACAAGCCCTGGCAGTATCACGCTGTCACGGACACCGAGTGCCTCACCCTGTACAATATTTACCCGCGCACAGGGCCACCATCGTATGCCAAAGACGATGAAGTCATCTGCACTTCATTCTACTCCAAGATACACCCCTTAGAAAATGGAGAGGTAAGATGGGAAAACTCACCATTTAAGTACATTCAGTATGACAAAAACAGGCTTGTCAGAAAGACTCAAATATCACAGTAATTAATGTCAGGGAGATTTAAAAATAGGATTTAGCAGAAGTACATTTAAATGAGTTATTAAATAAGAAAGAAAAACTAAGGTGATTAGATTTTAACTACCTTTATGTGCCTCCCATCTCCAATAAAGAGCAGAAAAGAGGAAATGGGTTTCAGTTGGACAGCCAATGATTAATTTTACATATAAGGAGATTTTCCTGAAAATGAGAATTGCTAATGATTAAAGGCTTGGAGACCTTAAAGACAGTGTTTCATTTGTGTGCACTCTAGTCTGGAGATGGAGACAAAGAGAAGAATTTGAGAAAAAATACACTTCTCATGAAAGGCCGAAATAAAGAGGAGATCTGGCTGTCTTTGGATATTTTTCTGATGGTACTATGTAGGGCTACAGAGAGATCTTCCACTGTGATCAGGTTTTCCTGAGTAGTACGTAGTATGTAGGGAATCTTAGGTTCTCCATTTTGTGCAAGCTAAGATATATGCTTAATTCAATACGTTCTGCTCCCCGTAGTGTTTTTTGTCCTGTGGCTAAGATTTTACATAGATTCATTCATTGGTTTTAAAGCAGATTCAAACATAGGTTCTTGTTGGTAATTGTATGCTCTTGGTCTAGTAACTTAAGTTCTCTGTGCCTCAGTTTCATCTCTCATATATTGGGAATAATGATAGGCCCTGTGTCCATGGTATGCTGCAATGATGTTGTGCCCCGCAGGCTGGAACCACATGAGAGGTCCCAGTTTGATTCCCTGTTCAACCTAAAGTCTGGGTATAGTGACAGCAATTTGGGAGGCTGGGGCATGAGGATCTAGAGCTCTAAGTTGATTAGCGCAACACAGTGAGATCCTATCTAAAAAGAAAATAAATAATTGGAAAGAGTAGTAGATGTTTTTTATTTTATGAAGATTAAGTGACTTATATTTAAAGAATTAAAACAGTGTTGACATGTATACTAAGCATTCTATAAACATTAGCTGTTTTTGTTGTCATGTTGCTTTAAGAATGGTAATAACTATGATAGTAATAATAGTAGTAGTTATTACTATTAGTTTTCTCTCAAATACCAAAACATAACTTAGTGATTCTCTTGGATTCTCTGATTTCTTTCTATTATATTTTCCTTACCTGCCTCCCACGTGGTTTATCACCTGTGTTAATACTTGCTTATTCTTGTGTCTGATATCATCTCCTCACTAGTCCACACATCTGAAGCTAGCTAGCATCATCTTCTATATTCATATTTTTCAAAAAATCCAAAAGCAAAATGCACATTCTATCATGCCGACACTAGCCAATCTAAAAGTTATGACTTCTGGGATAAACTTAGGTTATTGGCATAAATCTATCAGGTTTCCTTTTGGCACTATTATTCTATGAATGCTTGCCAGTGCCTTACTATATTTCAAATTCTGTGTTCAAATATACAAATTCTGGGGGAAAACATTCCAAATGGTACTCTCAACAGAGATCTCAATCTGCCAAATGACAAGAAGTCAGATGCAGTGAGTCAGACAGCTGTTCAACCCACTTTGTGCCCAGAGGCATCCAATTCTTGGGCCAGTTGGGCCTGAGGATATGGGAGTAAGGAGTGCAAACAGCATATATTTAAATCAAATTTTATTGATTTATTTCATTTTATTCTGGATCCCTCATTTACAAGAGACTGTTTACTAATGTTTTAAAAACTATTCTTTACCTTTTAAAAGTTATCTGATTCACTAATTATTTGAGCAATATAAAATTCACCTAGATCCATATGTAATGTACGAGTTATATGCAAATCCCTAACCATGCTTTCCCTGCATTCATGGTGGGTCTTCATCATATAGATGAGTTCAGCCTGCCAATGTGGAACAAACAGATGTGTTTGTTTGCTGGTTTGTTTCTTTAACTGCCTATATTGCTTTTACTCCCAGACAAATTTTGCTAAAAACTACTCTTTGATGATGGCTCTTAACAACTAATTCACTTTCTCTGTGATGTGTTTCTTTAAGTCTGTTGGTCTCTCACAGGAAAGTAGATGAGGCAAGGAACAGGAAGTAATTCAAAATATTTGAAGTCAAATGATAGGATCTAAGAATAGGAATGAAATTCAGACCTATCCTCAGCTATCTGCTTGCTTTATAAAGTGTCCTTTGTGGAACACACTACTTCTTTTCTTTTCTTCTTGGGGGAAAATAAAGAGGTAAGACACTTGTGAGACACAGACAATGTTTATTACCTGTTGATGAGGATGTATATAATAGTCTCTCTAGGCTGGACTGAGGTGTATATCATGCTGGTCAACTACGTGGAAGTCCAGCAATGTAACCATTACCTTATCCGCTGATCCCTGAAGTTGATAATTTTTAAACTCAGAAGTGGTTTAGAAGAGATACACTATTACTAGATTCGTTATAAATAAAAGAATACTCATTCTGAGATATTATAATATAGAAAAATGTACATCGGATTAAAAAAATCTAGAATCCAGCCCTGCTTCTACAATAATTTTTGCAGGACCTTGTGGCAGGTCCATATACTTATTTAAAATGAGATTTTCAAAAAATAGATGAAGCATTTTAATACATATATTGTTCTAAAGCATCTTTGTGTAATAAATTAAAGTAATATATTAATAGTTCTGATGTCACATAACTTCTGAAGATGCTCTGAAGGTTTGGGATGCTTATTTCCAACAATTCCCAGACAACTGACTATGAAATAAATCTTAATCTCAATAATTAACATTGAATTTTAAAATCATGTACTTTGAAATAATTCTCACGATACAATTGTTAGATGTTTACTCTTAAAACTTCCTGAAGAAATGGGACCAACAGTTGGCGTAATGGCTATGTCACTGGACTCCCATGTACTTGACCGCGGTTAGAGTCCCAGACCTGGTGGCTTAAACTAATGCCAGGCGTGTGTACGTGCATGCCCAAGATCCTGAGAGGAGAATGGAGGAGAAAGGATTATGGTGTGGCCATCCCCCCAGGGGATGATTTCTCGCTTTCTGTCTCTCTATCTCTCTCCATCTTTCTGGCGAGCACACATGTCCTATAGCAAAAATCTCTCAAAAACAAAATAAAACAAAACAAAAACTTCCTGAAGAAGTGACAGGTAAGTGAAAGAAGAAAGCATAAAAATCAGTTAGTAAAACAGCATAGAAAAAAAGTGCTACTACAGAAGTGTGCACAGAGTGGTAAATCCCAACCTCTCCCTCCCAGAGAGCGGAAGGAGCCATGTGAGATGGTAATACCACAGGACAGAGATAAACCAACAATAGTTCTTAGCACCTCAAAAGTTTCAAGGCCAATATGCAAATTAATCTCCTGTGATGCCTGTGTGATGAACTAAGTGAATTAACTATTCACCTCCATTGTTGAAGGATATTGCTATTAGGTATAGAAAACTAGGCTTCTTGAAATTTTCTTTTGGGATATTTTATTAGCTTCCAATGTCTATTGTTTATGTAGGAAAGGTAGCTAGCTATCTATTTACTATCTTTTGAAGTGTCTTTACTCTGATTTTTAAAAATATTTTTTGGGTTTTTGTTTTTAAGTAGTTTTATTATGATGCTTGAGATCTGCACTGCCCAATATTATAGCCATTAGTTATCCATGGTTATTTAAATTTCGGTTATTCAGATTGAGTTAAAATTTAGTTCCTTGGTTATGCTAACTACATTTCATATGTTACCAGGAATTGTCATGTTAAATTGTGCAGAATAAAATGTTTCCATTATTGCACAAAATTCTGTAGGGCCTGCTGCTGTAAGATGATATCTTTTTATTTTGTAGATTAGTATGTGTTCGGCTTGCTATATCTGCAGAGCAATGTCTTTCATCAGTTTAGAAAATAATTCAGCTGTTAGTTTTCCAAATATGGTTTCTCCATTTTCTCTCCTCTATACTTCCAATTAAAAATAATTTGGAACTTCATACTCTATATACTGTGTTCCTTATACTCATTTTTGTAGTTTTCATATTTTTTTCTATATATTTTTTCTGTTTATTTGTTTATTTTTTTTTTTTATTTATTTTTTCTTTGCTGTACAATACATGTGCTTGCCAGAGAGAGAGAGGAAAGACAGGAAACTGGTAGAAATCACCCCACCCAGGGGGGACAGCCATATTGTAATCCCTTCTCCTCCATTATCCTCTTAGAATTTTGGGACACACACACATGTACTCACTCAGGGTGCTTTCCAAGCTGTCAGGACTGAAACTCAAAACTCACAGTTGGCCATGTATAGTCCAGCTGTCCCAACCACCATACCACCTGGATGAACTTCCCTAACGTTTATATATATATATATATATATATATGTGTGTGTGTGTGTGTACATGTATGAATGTATAATATATATGTGTGTATATGTGTGTTTATATACATACATATTATACATTTGAGTATTATATTTTATTACAGCTTACAAAACCAATTTTCACAGCATGAATGCACTGAAAATTAGCCAGTTAAAGATATTGTCGAGACCAGCAGTTGGTGTAATGGCTATGTCGCTGGACTCCCATGTAGTCGACCGCGGTTCAAGTTCCGGACCCGGTGGCTTAAAACTCATGCCAGGCGTGTGTGCATGTGTGCCCAAGATCCCAAGAGGAGAACGGAGGAGAAGGGATTGTGGTGTGGACATCCCCCCTGTGGGGTGATTTCTCGCTTCCTGTCTCTCTGTCTCTCTCTGTCTGTCTGCCAAGCACCAAGCACACATGCCCTATAGCAAAAACCTCTCAAAAAAAAAAATATGGAAATGCAGAGTATTAGAATCAGTAGCAGGGGGACCAGCAGTTAGCGTAATGGCTATGTTGCTGGGCTCCCACATAGTCGACCGTGGTTTGCGTCCTGGACCTGGTGGCTTAAAACTCACCCTGGGCACATGTGCATGCGTGCCCAAGATCCCGAGAGGAGAATGAAGGAGAAGAA